TGTCCCAATTTTATCTTATCAGGACAAAGCAAGACCAAATCGTGGGAAGATTTTCTCGTTTCATGTTGCACTGAAGGCTTCTCCCACCTTGTATTTTGCCAACTTATAAGCACCATTCCTTGGCAGTGAAGGGCTACAGGCGAGTGGAAGTTTGATTGAAGCGAATTAGTCTACCCAGAATTTCTATTGTTGGATGCAGGTAGGACGCATTAATTCCAGAGCTGATGCAATGCTCTTAGAATGCGTAAAATGAATAAATCGGTCTTACTATCTCTCTTCTTCTTGATTTAAGGCCTCAGGTATGATTGAGCTCTGATTAGTACTGCCTTCTGATTGGTCAGTTGGCAGCCATAATGTCCTTAATGGATTATGCGTGTAATTTGTCCAAAACAATGTTTTTGTAATGTCCTTTCTGTAAGCCGAAATTCTGTTCAAGGTCGATTAGCTCAAATCTGTCATGTCGAATCATCTATGATGGTAAACAAATGCTTGGGAAATTAGATTGATTACCAGCTTTGATGCTACGAAGAGCCACTTAAGGCATCGATTGAGTTAAAGCAGAGGAGCATCTGCTCATAAAGATTGTTGGGGTTATTATTGCAAGATTCAACCGATTCGTCGTAAAAATGCTAATTCAATCAAATATGTCCATGACACAAGTAGAGCCCAATTATTTCATTTCGTCTGATACCGAATAGGAATTTTGCAGGGGAAAGAAGAGGAGGAGGAGGAGGAGGAGGCGGCGGCGGAAGAGAATAAGTAGAGCTATGGACACTATAAACAATGGTGCATTGTAAGACAAGAATTGCAAATGAATTTTTAAAATTCTGCAGTTTTTGGTGTTTGGGATATTGTCGAAGGCCGATAGAGTGAGGATCTGCCTCGACCATTGTACAACTCCGGTTGTCGCCTTCGTTTCTTGCCACAGCACATCAGGGCTGCCTTGAACTCCGCGCGTATTCGTCGAAAGACGATGTTGTAGAGGATGGGATTGCATACCGAATTGGCGAAGAGACAAATGCCTGAGATGTGATAGAGCACATCATGAACTTTCCAGAGTATCTTATTGTTGTACCACAACTCCGCCGGTACCAACACTACCAAAAGCCGTTCCGCATGGAATGGTGCAAAGCAAGTAAAGAACGCGATGACAATGCAAACTGAAAAAGAAAAATAAAAACCCAAAAAAGTCATTAATCTTAATTTTAAGCGGGTAAAATGTAGGCAGCACATGTCACCAAGACAGTTATTCCAGGTGTTTACACTGTACGGTAATTAGCGGACGCTTGTCAGCTCCAGCCGCCTCCGTTCCAAGTGGTAAGCACGGATCTAACCTCACTACAGTTCACTGGATCCTCACTTGGAAGCACTAATGCTTGACTAGCCTCTACCGGAGCTAATTAAGTGAACACGTGAACCCTAGGCTGAGCTTTCCGCGGACTATCCTAAAGATACTAATGAACAAAAAGTTATAGTTTGACCTAATCAAGTCTCTATAGCTCACCTAAAATCCGTATCAATGATTTGTTTGTCCTCATTCGTGCTTGGTGTTGGACTTGCTGGATTTGACAGAGCTCCTGATGCTGCCTGGCCGCTCTCTTGTCTTGTCCCGTGCGAAACATGATACTACGACCACGTTTGAGCGGTGAGACAGCGGGAGGCCTAAGGGATGGCTTTTGTACATTTTCCAAGGCAACAGTGACTTCGCCCGAGGTTGGTGATTCAATCCTTTCGGTAGGATGCAGATTTTGGGTAAATTTTACTGATCTACGTACACCCCGCAGAATGAGAATGTATAGAATGGTGATGATAACCAAGGGAAGGAGGAAGAAGAGGATAAAACTCGCTAGTACAGGATAGGAGAACCAATCCTCCGACTCACCCTTAAAAAGAAAAAAAAATTGATAGCATTTTGTGCGTTAACAAAGCAAACACATTTTGACCAATTGAATAAAATAAGAACGCCTAGGACTTTCCTTTTATTCATTTATAGGAGTGATTGCAAGCCTTCCTTTCATTTATTATTTGCTGCGGCTTTAAGAGAGATTTATAAGAGGGTGAACATTTAGCTCGACGTGGATAGCATAAAAAAGCGCCATAAAGAGGGAATTTTCATGCTGTTAACAAACAATGAGGTGCGTAAAATGAGGGAGGCCTCTACGCAGGCACTGCCACAGGGCTGCCAAAACATCAAGCAGTGTCAACAGACCTTCCAACCCGCCTGTATGTTTAAAGGGCTCTGAATTTGAGATCCTCTTAAAAGACAGTCTTGGAAGGCATTTGTCTCGTCTACAATGCTTGGAAGGCTTAACATTAGACATTGACAGAAAGTCACAAATTGAATTTCTGGTGGTAAAAGAGTGACGGCAATGGGATCATGACATTTTGTGGTCACATGTAAAGAGAGTGTGAAGTAGAAGGGAGAATGAAAGACAGACAACATTTTAAAATTAAATAAATGTAATTTTGTTCCATCTTTCCCCTTATACATTTGTTTACATATTCAAGCAGTGCAGACAATGTAAACTTTGGCATTTAACTCATTTTACAGGTTTGACAGCTGAAATGGCATATCCATTTAAAGCAGACTTGAAAAAGGGAACTGGAAGGCCTGCTTTTTAACCTAGTCCTCAGGGATACGTTCCAAGTCATGCAAATATACTTCTACAACATTAAGGTTTTCGCATTATACAAACCAAGACCCTATTTATTTAAAATGCGCACAAAGTTTTACTAAATGAATACTATGGTTTGACTAATTAAGAGTTTGGGGCAATGGCATTTGGATTCACTTGACGGAAGTAGGGAAGGGGGGAAGGAGGGGACGTAACAAAGCGCAGCATCTCGTACTCCCAATTTCTGCACCTTTAAGCCTTGGCAGAATACTAAATTGTGAAAAACAGCTGTATTTTGATTCATCTCAATTCAAGCAGGCATAAAAATTCGAATGGGAGTTAAGGAATTCAGAAAACCCTTTCCCTTTTACAACTTTAGCGCTCGGGTAGGCAGAATTATCCTCACTATTTTCTCAACCCCTTCTCCCCAAAACAAAATGAAACTTTAAAAGGAATGTGCTTTCAACTACAGCTTTCAACTTCATGATTGATTTGAATTCTGTGCCAAGATTTAACCTTCCAATTTAATATATTGTAAGTTTATCAAAGCGATAGATTTGACATAAAACGAAGCTGCAAATCTACGTAAACTGATATTGTATCATACAAGTTTGAGTATAAAAATACTTAAATAAATGGAACAGAGATTACTTCTTAATTTGCTTGAGGCAGTCAAATACAACAATTAAAACGACTCTTCAAAAAGAAACGAATAAACATTAATGTGAGCAAATAAGGGTCTGTACTTTCCTTTTCTCTTGACATTAATACGATGTGGGGGAAACTGTGCATATGCAGCTGCGAATTGCAATTGCAAGTATTATATTTAAGGATTGGAATAAATTGGAGAATTTTACGAGCTCTGTTTATTTCCCGCCACCTTCAAGTGTCCCATCATTAAAAATCCACATAATTCGATGTACCGAAATTCGATGAAGTACTTGACCTCCATTTTAGTGGTCTTACTTTGCCTAAATGAACAATCGCATCATCAATGCGCACCCTCAGTTTTGGCAGAGGTAAAAGTGTGGTGAAGCAGGTTCAAGGTGCCCAAAATTCCTTACAAATGCTACCTCTCTAGAGGCCTCTGTAAGTAGTTTGCAAAAGTTCTTGTAGTTCACTCGCAGTTATTCAGACGCTTCTTCCCCTGATAATTGGGAAGATAATTATTATTATTTCTGATTTATGATGAAGTTTCAAATTGACTTAAACTGAGAAATACGCTTTGAAAATATTTATTTTCTTAAGGAATTTTGGCCCGCGTGCGCGTTTTTGGTCAATTAGGCCTTAAGGTCCTGTCTTTGGAACAGTCCTCTGTTAGTTTTCCATCTATGGCTTTAGCTGAAGTTAACGTGACTAAAATTAATCTTGGGTGGTGTAGAAATGACTAATGCCCACAGTTTTTTTCCGTGTACTTAGTGATCACTAAGAGTGCAGAGGGCTACATTCACAAATGTTAGAATAAATTGTGTCGGTAAGTGGCTTCAAGTGGTCTTCAACAAACGATTTGCCTACTACATCAATCACTCCATAATTATGACAGTATTTTTAGCCATTCATCACGGATTTTGGTAGATATTGCTTGGGAGTGAAGTTCTTTTTCTTGTAGTTTAAGCATTAGAATTTAATGGACACCCAATTATCAAGGTAAAACGTCTACGAGGTGAGGAGGCTGAAAGAGTTATTTGAAGGATCTAAAAATCGACAATTCATTCGAAGAAACTTGTTTACTGAAGTATCACACCTACCAATGCCGTTACATCAAGTTTTGCTTTAAATGCATCGCTGGGTGAGACTGCGTTGGTTATCCACTATACCCTTCACAGCTCACGGTTACCATCAGATTGAATTTTCTTGCATTGTGGCATAAACGTTGAATGAACAAAGCCGGCTTTAAGTTCCCAATTAGGTTTTTGGTTTTCCAAGATCTTGTGTCCTATTTGGTTCTGGATTGGTTAAACGTATTTTGCACAAATTGTCGTTTTTTAAATAAAACAAGCTTCCTTTTATTTGATCAGATTTTATTCTCCACCTGCAGCGGTATATGCAGTTGTATTTTCTTGATTACGATGTAAAACTGTTTAAAGCTTGTTTATTGCAATTTAGCCACGTTTCGTTTAAAACGATGACAACTGCGTTAAGGTCAAAAGTATGAGTCCAAAAATTTCGAAAACCGCCTCCGTCATTCAGGTATAAACATTAAGCATGATTGTTTGCACCACTTTTGTGATTCAACGCGGAAACTGAAATGGAGCAAATCGAAATGTTTTTTAGAGAATGTTTTTTTGTTTTCTTGAATGACATATATTTTAAGCTTCGATTATTCCTCGGCTTCGGGGCCAAACGGAAGAAGGCGGTGTGTTTCTGCTTAGAGGTTAATGGGAATTTCATGTGCTTTCAACATTTGTACTCAAATGGCTGGAATAAGTACTTTTTACCTCGTTTCGCAGCATAAAACATCAAATTTTGTTTCATTGACGCTGGAAAGGCACACCCAAATGTACTGTATTACAATGCTTACCCGAGGTAAATAAGCCAAACCCTTTAAAGTTTAAGCGCTACATAAAATCTCACGTCTTGGGAAGTGACGAGGCTTTGTTTGGCCAGTCAAAGCCCCTCACAAAGTGCATCTTTGAGCATATAAAAATATCACATGTGAAGCGTTCACTTCTCATCCCCGTTCGAAAAGGATTTCGTGCGCTTCCCACGATGTAGGGTGTCCCAACATTAGTTTTATGCAAGAATTTCTAAATTGAAGTGTTCCATTGTTTTGCATAACAATCAGAGGCGCAGTCTGCAAGCTTGTGAGCAATTATTTGATGAAGAAATGCAAGTTGAATGGTGTGAGCAGGATTTTTATAGTTTCAAAAATGCTGCACTGACTGATTTTAATCGAAGACTTTTTATGCTGATAGTCCATGATTTGTGAAGATCGTTTTCACACGAAAAAGGAGAAAGTTAGATCTCCATTAGTCAATGCCTTGTAGTCCTTAAATGTGTTAGTAAATTGAAGAATTATCACCCTCCTTCTCTTATGGTTGACATTTCCTCTAAACCCTTTTTAATTTGTATGTTTTAATCCGGAATGTTTAAACTGTGCCTAACGTGAAACAGCCTTTTGTTTTTCCTTCTCGTTGTTTATCTACAAACTAATTAACACTTGTTCCACAACTTTTGGTGAGTAAATTCCAAGCTGCTAGCATCCATAAATAATTTCCTCATCTCTCTTTCTTTCCCTTATTTATCCAATTTTTATAAAAAGGTGTTTTTTTTGGGAACCGGTTTTTGCTACTTCATCCGCTTGTTAAGACCGGATTGATTGCCCCAACTTAGTGCTTAATGGTAGTTGATAAAAATAACAACTTTCGGGCTCAAGTCGGCGAAGCATATGGCGTTCGCGCAGTTTCCAGCTCAACGTCACCCCACACAGGTCTCGTGATGAGTCGTCGAGTTACCTTTTATCCAGAGGAGGACCATCTTTGCCGATTTTAACACTATCAACATAAAAGTTTCAACGTTTTTTCCCGTAATTATACTTCTATTAAAAACAAGTCAATGTGTAGGCAAATTGCCAAGCCCAGCATTACATTTTGGGGGTGATTTAAGGTGTGGTGGGTTATCGTTAAGGTTTGCTTAAAACTGTACCACTTTATAAGAAAATATTCCAACTCCAAGAGCGCATAAATAATTCAGCGTAAAGAAGCTATGAAACACCACAAGCAGTGCTTAGTGTGTTCTTAAGTTATGCCTTCTTTACCGAGTTTTTTATGCAAGGCACGCCAAACACCGTTTGATGGAATTTAAATTGGCAGGAGGGAGAGAGGAAGTACTAGAGCGTTCTGATCAGTGTAAAGGGAGGTCACATTCCTTTAAAAGTGGAATACAAGGCTCCGCCATGTGCAATGAGACTTACCGAGACAGTACAAATGGAGGATTCTTTTATCATAACTGACTGATAGTTTGTAGAGGAATCATTCCTATAGATATAACTCAGAGCGACCTGGAGTGTGATGGGTAAGCTAAATAGCGGCGATAATATCCACACAATAATGACGGTGATGCGGACTTTTTTAAATCGACCCCAATCTCTACAACATCGGAAAAAATCCACTTTTTTTAGTCTAACAGCGCTGTCGGAACCACTCCTTCTCTTGGCACCAGAAATGGCTGTTGAAAGGGGATGAATGATTGCAATGTATCTTTCAATTGTAAGTACAGTGATTGTAAGTACGGATGATATCATACTGGCTTCAGCAAGAAACGCCCTCAAACGACAGGCCACTTCCTCAAACGGGTAGGGGTAACGGTTCCACATCATGTAAAGGTCATGCGGGAGGCCCAGAACAAGAATTAAAAGGTCAGAGACGCTGAGATTGACCAAGTAATAATTGATCGGAGTATGGAAAGACCGATTGACAAGGATGACCCAAAGTAAAATTGCATTTCCAAAGAAACCGAGGGCAAATATGATGATATAGATGATGCTAATTGGAACCAGGAGCTCCAATTCAGTTCGCCGTAGCCCGCGAATCGGAATAAGGTATTCCCAAATGTCTTCGATGATATCTGCCTCACTTGAGTTTGGTAAAAGAGGTCCCAATGTTGACAAACTCATCACGTCATATGAAGTTACTACTTGTTAATCCGGAAAATCAAACATTTGAACTGTCGGATCTCAGGAAATTTCAAGACCAAATGAATTGACCAATGGGGATGGAAGGAGGTGGTGGCCAATAAAAAAATAGCAGAGTCACACTAGTAATGCGATGTGAATTTTTTAGAGGTAAATGTCCCCGTAGGCATTTTATTCCGAATTAAAGCTTTCCATCCCCTTACGTAAATGATTACTTCATGAGCATCATAGTGGAAGTAAGGTAAAATAAATAAATGTCAGACTCACACCTTAAATATTTCAGAGTTTTTGCTCACACGGGGTGTATCCAGTACGGAATTCTCCCTTAATCCAAAATGCTATCATATTTCTATTATCAAGTTCGACATTCAGGACATAAATGCTTCACAAAACTCTTAGTCAATGGAATTTGGCGGTCAGGTTGCAAGGAGTAAGACTGTGTACTATCAAGGAGAAATAATATTTTATACAATAGCATTTAGCAATGTTTGCTTTGAAGTCATAAGACTCTCATGAAAGCAAAGGTTAGTGCGTTTGAGTATCTACATGGTAGTTACACCACAATATAGCACAATACTTTGTTACCATAAAGAGAGGCGAAAGACATGGGTGCATTTAGCACTGAAACACATGAAAATGGAATCAGTGTACGAGATCCCAATCGTCACCAATATGGGCTAAAAAAGTGTGCTAGCATGGTAATGTGTTTAATGTCTCCACAATTTAACAATATTCAAGGATAACAGTATACGAGAAGTAAATGGAAAAATGTGTTAATCAGAAGTGATCTTAATTCTTCTCCTTAAATAACCCATTTATAGCCGTTTATTTTCATTTTATGTTCACTGTATCTACGCAAAAACTTTATTTTAAAGTAGAAACAGTTTAGAACGAAATTTTTCTGTCTGGAAAGCATTTTTTAGGAATTGGTAAACCTAAGCAGCATCAATTGACGCGGAATGGACGCCGACCTTGCACAAGAGACATGAAAAAGAGTTAAAACAAGGTGAAAAAATAGTACAAAAGATACGATAATTAGCAAAGAACTCATTGACAGCATTGTAGCGTGCTCAACAAACAAGTTAATAATTACACTTTTTATTTACCCCAAGCCTGTTGCCTAAGTACATTGATGCGTTGAGATTAAATTAATGTAGGACTAGCAAATAACCATGCACAGAATCCTGTCCATTTGGTGTGTTAAAGCGAGTAAATAATTCATAAAGCCGATTATACACCTATGACGCCAGGTTGTTGTCTCATTCTTCCACCTTCATTCGGACCAAAAGAATGATTACAATAAAGCAGTGTCCATTTTCATAATGTGAAATACTACAACTGACTCACACTCCTATATTCTTTTCTTGCTTGCGAGATTGATTCACTGTAGTAGCTTAACTACTAATGGGTCTGTTTAAATAGTCGCACTCGAGTAAACATTATTATGACGTTCCAAACAATCTGCGAACACATAAAGACATGGCGCGAGTGCAAGACATGTATACTTAAGGTGTTGGAGGATATGAGCTCTGTTAGCACAACCTAAAAACCTGCCACCGGCTGGAGGCACAGGAATGTAGGCATAAATTGTCTGCCCATCAAAATGGAGAGGTAAACAAACAGGGTAGTTGTAACGCCAGAGACTTCTCATTAGGCAGAAGAAGGCATTGAGTTGGGATGAATGCATTTGATGCAGAGATGGGAGAAGAGCCTAAGCCAGAGGTTCGTCCGGAGGTCAGCCCACAAGTACAAGTGCTAGACGAGTACCAAAGTGAACGCTGGACATCAGGTGGTCACGTAAATAAAGTATTACAGTAGTAACGACGTTTCGAGTTGATATTCCCAAAAGGTTCTTGATTTGGGGGAGGATAATATGTGCTATTGTTTACCCGCTCTTTCAACTTAATTAGTTTAATTTCTGCAGCGTGTTAGTTACCTTCTTCTATGCTCCATTCTTGATTATTTTAAAGTACTTTTACAATCTATAAACGGATATTCAGTCCGCCTTCAAACACTTATGTGCCATCGTTTACGCATTCATATAGTTAGGGCCGACTGGTGTGCAATGTCCTATAGTAATCTAGGAGTAACGTTCGCCACTTTACTCATTCAATTACCGAGAGTGTTGAAAATTTAAACGTGGCGCTGCCTTTTACAACAACCGGTATCATTGAAGACACTTGAGGTACCATATTGCACCTCAATGAAGGGCCGTCTTTCAGGCCATAACGAATGGCGAATTCCCTTCTCTTTTGTTAACTTATATGTATTCAAGCAAAGTTCTCCGCCTTCTGCGATTCACTAAAGAGTATTGTTCCACTACATCAATTGCTTTTAACTTTTGGTGTAGGGTTTTGCCAGTTAAGGATTTAAACTCTGTGCCACGATCTAGCAAAATGGGTTTGGTGTTAAATGGGCTGTGCGCCAATACGTTGACATTTGCATTTATGGAGGGATTTTAGTGTAAGAGAATAAAACAGACAAAAGTTCTATGATTAGTCAACGTTTATTTCATTCCCAAGGTCTGTGGACAATGAGTTGGTTAATTTATATCCAGGAGTCAGTCTCAATTCCCAAGCCACTGTACCCCTTTTTTCTTAGTCTCAAGATCTTGACCCTCATGGAAAAACGCTTAAGTTTTTGTTTTAATGCATGCATTTTTTGCCACAAAATCTAATTTGAGCAATATAATGTTGTTCTCTAATTTTATTCAGAAAAAGCACTTATTTTTCAAAATTTTCTAAACAACTTTGTAGCTATTACACCAGATTTCAGACTCTAATAATCTGAACCTCGAGAGAGTGGTCCCGAAATGCTTGGGATAAAAAACAAATTACTGGCTTTTTTCTACCCTTTTATAAAAATTCAGTGGAAGCTTAAGTTTACCAAATCGGCGGTAAAAAATATTTTTAAGCCTTTGTGCCATAAAAGGATGTATTGACGAGATTTGCAGTTACTGGAGGAGATTTTAAGGCTTCCTCATCCCAAAGATTATCGTCTTCGGCATGCCTATTTGATCCCTCCTCCGCGCTAGACAATTCGATGCATAGCAGTACAATGAGCTGTTCCGCCCTGTGGAACGCTTCCCACTTCTGCACCAGTGGAAAAATGTTGTTAGCCTAAGGCCTTGCCAAAGCCAACACAGTCGCAGAAGCACTTTTGTTAGACTTCCAGCCGACATCCCTTCCCTACATCAAATCCGCTTTGTTGGCTTCACAGCCACCGTTAGCCAGAAACGCAAGCCAAATCTGATCTAACCGGAGGGTCTGTGTAGCGAGGCCAACTTTTAGTGACAAAGACATCACAATTAACTTTGTGACAAACCTATTTGGGTGACTTGCGCCTACAAACAACATTGGATAGCCTTTCCTTAGTCGCGCTCTATTGCACTTTCAGGGAGCAGTAGACCCTGCTGCCAGCCAAAGCGATCTCGAGGATTCAGTAACCATTACATCACAATGACTGAGACACAGAGAAGAGAATTTAACCATTTCCATCAAACACTTCTTTAAAAAATGCCAATTGTCCTTTTACTCTGCCATACTTCCTTCTTGCCCGTTAAATATGCGTGAGGAATAAAAGAGTAATAAATCTTGACACACCAAATGCGTGTGTGCGTGAGTATGCGTGTGTTAGTGTCAATGAGTATTTGAAAACCAAATTATATTTGATGTTTAACATTGCTACAATTTTATTTCCTTTGCTAGCGCCTCTAAAAGGGCTCCGACCGCAAGAAACTGTTCCGAGCATTTGTCGCCTAACTCTCCTGCCCTGAACACTCTCCCCTCCAATTGTTGGGGCTAAAGAGCCAGCAAAATCGGCTCCATACCCACAAGACTTACTTCGCAAAGCTTAATTAATTTATAAAACCGCAAATATTTAGTATGCATCATCATTCAAAGTACTCGTTGAAGGAGAGCATTGGTGGAAGAGCAAAAGAAAAGTGAGTTTTGGTGCGCAAATTTTCGTATCGGCGTTGGATGCAGTTAAATGGAGGTGCATCTCGTCATCCTCTTGACTCCATTATTAATCCATAAGCGATAACAAAAGGATTTAAGCCAAGAGGCGGCGCATTTGAGCCAAAGATTTATTTGAATAGACTGCATATCCACGTTGGGATTATTTGATGTGACGAGATTTAGTTTATTTTAGATGATATATTCGTTAAAAAATGTTCATTCCTTACCTCTGAGGTACAGACCGAGTACTTGATTGAGACTCCTTCTTCTATTTGACTGCTGGTCTCGGTCGCGAGGATTTGGATCAGCACGCTGACTAAGGCACTCGGGCCGACCTCTGAGCCATGCCCAAGTTTTGTAATTTTTAGCACATAAAATACCACCACCCCTAGGCGTATAAAACCCTGAATAAGACTTAATCGAGATACAGATCTTATTACGTTATTACTTGCGTTTGCGCTGTTAAGCAATGCACCATCCATTGAGCTGATGACCAGGTTATGATGTGAGACACATATAACTACCGAATTGCTCAAAATATGCATGTAACTAATTTTGTCCATCGTACGGGAGGCAACGAATGCGGGTAGTCAAAAAGTGGATGAAATTTGGCCACGCTTAAAAACCTCATCTATCGCGAAACGGTGGAGAGGATGAGTGACATTTCGTTCATGGTTGACTTGCTCTGCCAAAGTTGTCTAGTTCATTCTGGCTATTTGCTAATGCAGACAGTTTTATAGTAATGCAGCCAGCTAACACATTGTTTTAGACCTTTGAGAACTCTTTAAAAATTTGTATATAATATACTTATTCAGCCCAATGCGATTTATTTGTCTCAACAAGCAAATGATAACGCAGAAACAGCGAAGGCAATTATGAATAAAAATTGGCAAAAAATGCGTCTTTGTGACTATAAATATACCTGTAAATAGTCAACATGCGAACATAATCCGACGCTGTAAATTATTCAATTTTTAATGCGATCGTCCAATAAGGATGGATTTTTTTGTTTGAATAGGTAGG